CGTTTGTGAAATTTGGTCCTTCCATGTTGAACGAGGAGGCAATTGCAAAATACTACACTGATCTTGCCAAGGTAGATGAAAACAAAATGTGTATGGGAGATGGCATATTCTTGGTTGAATTTAAAAGGTAGAGATACAATCCACTCGAAAAAATTGAAAAAAAAAAGAGTTTACATTGCCTGTAGATTTAAAACTACCAAACAAGCAAGTATTGCACAACATAAGCATGCTTTCACATTATTGAAAATTCATCGTGAAGCCCATCTAGTTCCCCTCTAAGACTGTGTTGCTGAATAATCAAAACTGAGACTGTTGTCGAGTAACCAGAAGCCGAAAGGATCTCGAGTAAGCATGCTTTCACATTATTGAAAACTCATCGTGAAGCCCATCTAGTTCCCCTCTAAGACTGTGTTGCTGAATAATCAAAACTGAGGCTATTGTCGAGTAATCAGAAGCCGAAAAGCTATTGTACAACATAAGCATGCTTTCACATTATTAAAAACTCATCGTGAAGCCCATCTAGTTCCCCTCTAAGACTGTGTTGCTGAATAATCAAAATTGAGGCTATTGTCGAGCAATCAGATGCCAAAAGGATGTCTCCTATGGGCCCGAGCTCTGGGCAGTCCTTCCAATCATTCATCCCTACCATTAAAACAGAGTTGACTCTTCCTCCTCGACCCACAATGATAAGCCCATATTTCTCTTCAAGTGACCTTAGCGTCGAAAATGTCTGGCCGGAATTAATAAGGTACTTTCCATCTAAGCTACATGTCCTCCAGCCACATGCCTGTCATAAAACTCTGCAAAGCATTCATCGTCAAGTTTCATCTCCTTTTAGTACTCAACTGTATTAGCTTTTGCTATGGTGATTCTTGATGTAACAGTATCTCCACTGGACCTTATGACTGTCAACTTCACTCCAAGATGGCACGCTACACGACCAGCATAGGCAAGAGCCTCTTGATCGTATTTCCTACCAATGAAAATAACTGCTGTATAGAGGGATATTGAGGTTCTTGATATTGTTGTTGTTCCAAGACCCCGATCTACTAATATTCCTACCGAGCACGGGGCATTGCGAAGAACCTGTTGAACAACAACAATGAAGATGTAACCATTAACGTATGCTTGTTCTGACCCTTTAACTTCCATCATTATATACTTTCTAAACATGATTATGTTCAAGATTATATTATGTATGTTCAATAAGGTGGATTACACAATATTACATTCTAATAATC